TATTTACAAATGTAGATATATGTTTGAGTATATTTAGTTTTATTTTTACTTCAACGCTATAATGTGACGTTATTTTCTTTTTTCTTCTTATGCACGTGATGTAACGTTCCTAATTTCTAAATCGGTTCAGAACTAATTGTGTTTTGCCATATGTTTTGAATGGAAATAATTAAGAAACAGAAATGTGAGGATGGCATTCATAAAAGAGAAATTGTCAATATTTAAGATTTATTTTCAAAGTCCCAGCATAATAACGTTTCGCTCGGTCCTTTCATGGCTTAATTTTAAACCGCACACTTATTAACCCCGACGACGGATAACAAAGATATCTTACAATACGGCCACCCTATCCTATTCGCCCCAAATTTGACCCAAAACTCATCCCCCAGTTGGGATAATCCGGGAATAGTGCGCAACATGCTTCCAATATCTGTTGTATCGGTGTTAGTTCGATTTGCGAACGTTTGCTCAATAGACGCAAACCTGTGTTCGATTGCGGCCTTCAATGGGATTGCATTAAGCCGTGGTAGAAATACGTATTCATAGCTAAAAATGTTATTTAAGCCAAACTAGCTGATATCCGCGACTTCGTATGCGTTGCTTATTAAGTTAATAACTACACCGCTTGAAATCTTCTCCATGAAAACATATCGCTGAACACGTAGCGCTTATAAACATAATTGTTTCTTAAAACTTTAATGACATTTAGATGAAAATATGATAATGTTTTTTAGGTACGGGCCATTTGTCTAAGAAATAAAACTTAGCAGTATTAACTAAAACCCGTGCCGTAGTTTTTCCGTAGTGTGCTCACAACGGCAGACCTCTATCATTTTATTTCTATAGATTATTTGAGGAATTGTTCGGGGTATATATATAACTACAAATATCTTTCTTTAAAAAAAATCAATTAAAAAAATAGCCTATGTCCTTTCTCAGGCTCTAGACTATCTGTGAACCAAATTTCATTTAAATCGGTTCAGTAGTTTTGGCGTGAAAACGAGACAGACAGACAGAGTTACTTTCGCATTTATAATATTAATATGGTTTTATTTCTTTGGAAAGAAATTAAAAAGGACACATTGTTAATGAGTGTTTCTCTGATGTCTTACTTTTCATTGTGTGTGCAATAAAGTTTATTCATATCGATAAACATTCAGATTATAACAGATAAACAGTGCATATTTTCACTGCAACGAATCAAATCCCTTGGCCTCTCGGACTGAACAAAAGAAAAACGCAGATTGGCTTCAAAAACGATTAGTTCCGAGGCAAGTGTTGCATATGGGCCCACTCTGTCCCTCCGGAGTATACTCCGCTCCACACCATATGGCCCTTGTAAGGGATTCATAATTACGGCCGAATTATTAGGAGCATCATACGCGAAGCGACGACAGCCGAACCGTGAAATTGGCAATGTATCTCTGCGTTTTTTCAAACGCAGATAAAAAACACGCGCTTAAGCTGGATTTAAATAACAGACTCTTTGATGTGGGCGGTCCTCTGTTCCATATATAAAAGCGTCTTACTGACCATAGACAAAAATGAAACGATTGATTCCGATTGATCTTTGCTCAGAAAATTCTGGTTTCCGCAAAAATTATAAGTTTTATTTCATTCATAATAATTAATGTAGATTTGTTTTTTTTTATCGTAAATTTAGGATTTCTTATTTGTTATCATATCATTCATTTAATTATTTTTACCGAACTTACTCATTTAATTAAAATGAAGTAAGTTCGGTAAAGTTATTGGATAATTTGTCGCTGTATCTGTCATCATCGGTCATCTCATCGATTTTTAACCAAATTACCATAGATTGCACAGAGTTGATGACAAGAACGCATCAAGGACACCCCTTAAATACGTGACATACGCAATCATTACGATAATGTTACATCATTTAAAGTAATCAATTTGTTGGCGCGCCCCATTGAGGGACCGGTTTGACCGATCACACCCTTAACTGATAGCTAGTGATGTACCCAAGGTCTATTCCTAGCGAATGAATCAATTGATTTTTGTATTCAAAACGTCAAATATTATCGATTGCAGTGCATAGTGTACGAAGGAGCAGTCTTACTCTACATTCAAAATAAAGTTGTAATAATCGTTGCTTTTCTGTAATTTCTATAAATGAGAGCAATATTTATAATTGTAAATGGTGTTTCGTTAAAAATTGTTTATAGTAAATATCACCTTCACTGATCAATTTGTTTGTACATTATTTTAACACAATGAATTGCCTTTTTTTTTCATGACAATGGTATGTATTTAAGTAACGCATCAAAATCGAAATGTATTTTAGTGAACGTTTCACATCACTAGTTATCCGTACAGAATATTATCGCGAACTTACCCCATGATGTTTCTCCGCATTAGGGGTTTCTGGTATGACTTTTGAAGTGGTGATTTATTATGTAGTTTTAAACTAGTAATGTTTGTTTGTTTAGAATAAGTATAAATATCTCTAAAGTGCCATTATCACGAAATTGGTGCGATGATTTATTATTCCCATGGATTTTACTTACTAAATTAATAAGTAATAAATCTTTGTACATCGTACATGATACTATGTTCTTCTGGTTCTCTTGATTTATTATTTAATTATTTATTTATTAATTTTCTTGATAACACGTTTTATCTACGGTTCTGAAGTCATTCATCAGGCAGGGTAGATAGAAATGATGATGATTTAACTTATGTCATTAACGTAACGTTACTAGACATACTAATCTTCGCTACTTTTTCTTTAGAGAATAAGCTATATAATTTGATGTCAAATACGTAATATGAAGAACGGTTAAAGCATTTATTTTTAGTTCATAAATCGAATTAAATTACATACTTACATCAATGAAATCTCGCCTGGATTTTTTTATATTTCAACTTCCTATTAAGTCAGTAAACAATAGAACTTTGATTGTAACATATTACATATTACAACTAATAATTATTTAATTGCATGCTTTTATAAATGGCTATACAAGTGGAACTAAAAATAATTATAATTGTACCTTCATAAATTGTACCTTGTGTTATGGCAAATAAATAAATATATAAAATAACCATTGAAATAGGTTCTAGGCCGTATTTGGCTTTAGAACCTACCAACTGCCAAGCGATTCTTAAACCATTTCATATTTTTATGTGTTCAACGATTTGATATTTTATACTAGCACTGAACAGATTAGGGTTGACAATAGTGTTCAACGTTCCACGTGGTCAACAATAGCGAAATCCTTACTGCTGCCGGCACCTGCCAACCCTACATTTGCGTTATGCATCACGACACCCCTCGACCCCAATTCGACCAATTGATATTCGATACACCAAATTCACACGCGACTCGCCTATTTGGGTATGGGCGGCGGCTTTTGTTCTCTCGCGTATTGTGATTTTATGGCCTCAAATCATTCGAGCTGTTTTTCGTAATGGCCCATTCTGCTAGCTCATTACGTGCGACATTTTGTGGCAATAGCGTTATGATAATTACCGGCATCGACTGGCAACCCCTGGCAAAGTACGCATGTCTGGCTCTACATGTGCTCTACCCACGATATCGTAAGATAGCAGAGACCTGTTGATTATTCCGGTGTTGATTATTACGTGCACCGATTTTTCTACGTTCTTCATTCGAATTACACTAAATAAATCTAAATAATTCGCAGAACACGGAAGGAGTAATTTTCTGCTGGATTCGATGACTAGTCAGGCTTATTAAATAACCAAACCACATCTTATAAAATTAACGTGGTCTGTTTTGTTATTAATTAATAAATTCCAGCTTTATCGCTGATATAACTGCGAAGGCTTTACAAAAATGTTATAATAAATCAGCAAAATTTTATCTTAAACCTCATACAAAATCAATTTATTGTCAAACCGACAAATGCAACCATGGTCAGAGCCTCATTTCGCATCGGAGAAGCCTGATTAGCAGTCAGAAAGCCAACATTAAAATTCCGGCTACCAAATTTGATTTTAATTGGAAACACTCGTTTAGGATTACTTGTTACAATTCGGTGAATTCAAACCTAATCCTGATGCCGAATTGGAATTCATAATTCTGATCCTGATGTCTGAAGAATTGAGAGTATTTTTTAATCATAATTCGCGAGTATGTTGCATAAGTGACCAGACTATTAACGAAATTTGTACCAGAGACTAGTAAGTATTTCCTTACAATTAAACATGAAACAAGTTAAAGCATTGTAAACCTACTAATGCAATATAACATTTGCAACATTGTTAATCGTGATTAAAAAACCAACATTAAAATTCCGGCTACCAAATTTGATTTTAATTGGAAACACTCGTTTAGGATTACTTGTTACAATTCGGTGAATTCAAACTTATCCTGATGCCGAATTGGAATTCATAATTTTGATCCTGATGTCTGAAGAATTGAGAGTATTTTTTAATCATAATTCGCTAGTATGTTGCATAAGTGACCAGACTATTAACGAAATTTGTACTAGAGACTAGTAAGTATTTCCTTACAATTAAACATGAAACAAGTTAAAGCGTTGTAAACCTACTAATGCAATATAACATTTGCAACATTGTTAATCGTGTATTATAATTTGGAGTCCATAGTTTAACATAGCCTCTATATGAGGCTCTCTCTATACATTATATATGAGAACAATATGGCAGTATACATACATTATACCGCCATATTATTACCATAACTTTTTGATACAACATTTAACAATTCTTAGCAATAACATTGACAAGTTCATATTTTATATATGACGAACAATAGCGAGCTTAACCATCTTGGCAATTTCAAGGAAAACGGCAACTCAAAGGAATAAATAATTTCAAGAAAAAAAAATAAATCTTTCCTAACAAAAGTTACTCGTGCTCTTTCTAAAAAGACTGTCCCTTTCGAAAATTTTATAATAAAAAGTTAAAATAAAAAAATAAAAATAGTTTTATAGACCGGCATCTCATTAGTAAGAAGAGAGAAGATTAATAAACTCATTTTTTACAGTATGGAGGCCACGAACCTAGCGCTTCCGCAGCGGGAGTCACTCAAAGCCCGCTCGGAGAGCAAAACGCTACAGTTGAACGCCAAGCCTAACCAAGTAAGTAATCAGAACAACGTATCAGTAACAATATCCCAACAACAGTGACGGACTCCGTGGGCCATTGAAAAGATAATTGTTTTTGAACATTCAATACTTTTACTGTATCAGTTTAATTTAATTACGTCCGCGTTTTCCTATTTGCCGCACAATACAAATAGCTGTGAATCTGCACTGGTATTGGAAAGCAGACTTCTTTTTACACTTCACTTACTTTTTTATGTGAGAAAGTGCAAGCGAGCTGGCGTTTCACCTGCATAGTTGAACCTTTTAATGAAGTGAGCCCGGCTACCTCACTCACCAGACGAAACGCAGAAGTCTAACACTTCCACTGCGAGGTCTTGATAGGACCACGCAACAGTCCTCGCTATTACACGAATGGACAGGTCCGTCCGGGGAAGTACCACGACCTCACACTAGACTGACGTGTGAAGTTTTCTATTATACTTCTGCGTTTCCTGCGCTCCTGGTGAGTGCGGTAGCCGGGCTCCACTTTATTAAAAGGTAATCAACGCATTTGCATTCCTACGGATGTTGCAAATGTCAATGGGCGGCGGTTAAGTCTGAACATCAGGTGATGCGCCAGCTCGTTAGCTAACCATTCACATAAAAAAAAATACTTACCCGGACGGACCTGCCCTTTCGAGCTGTTGCTCCGTTATATCTCCGTTTACACCTCTGTGCGTCCTAACAGGTTGGCACAGTGCTCCTTTACGGCGTCCCGATAGTCTCCCTGGTGATCGAAGGCGTCGAGCGGCTTTGCCTCGCTCAGATCTCCAACACGCTCCTCAAGCAGTTCTCGTACAACGAGATCCACAACAGACGGGTAGCTCTCGGAATAACCTGTGTTCAGTGCACGCCCGTTCAGCTGGAGATACTGCGACGCGCTGGCGCCATGCCGGTGTCTTCGCGGCGCTGCGGTATGCGACCATCATTAAATCATTATCATCATTCCTATTAATGATGGCATTGTCATCATTCCAGAAGTACCTTGTTATGCTGTATTGTATATTAAGTTTATTATATATCATATATAATTAAAATATTAAGTATATTACATAACTTGTTATGCCAGTTCCTATATTCTTTCTACAGATAGATTTGGTAGTCAAAATTCTCTAAAATCTCCAATAACCAAATCTATCTATAGAAAGAATATAGGAACTGGCCGATAGTCGTAATTTTTTCTATTACTGTCATCTGGTATGCTATTAATGACGGTATTATCACCATTCCAGAAGTACCTTGTTATAGTCTTACCTTCTTCGATTACTCATCATTCGCGCGCATCTTCTCTAAACCGGCAAGTTCTGCAACTAAAAGCTTTCTTTTATTTGTTAACCTATCGTGTTTTCATCGGTCCACATAATGCACGGAAAAGGTTTGTAAGAAGAATTGTAAATAGGATTTATATGTTAGAGCATTGATAATCTCCAATTACCATTAAGAGCGATGCTTTAAAAAAACATAAACATCCGATTTCATCTTCCTTTTTGAAGTCTTGCTAACTAAATATCCATGATTTTTTTTACTCACCTCTCACACCAGACGAAACGCGAAAGTTTAATACTTCCACTTCACGCAGGTACGCGCCTGACGATTCGAGCAACAGATGCTGTTGCGTGGCCCTACCACTCTTATAAATGAGATGAGACCGTTCATCCCTTATACGGGGTTAAAGGAAAGAAGTAGAGCTAATGTCTACTGTACGCGAACTGTAATTGTTCAGGAATGATAACGAGAAGGGAGGCCGAGAGGCTCTGCAAGTCATTCCTCGGGGATAACGCACCGCCGAGGCTTCCTGACGACTTCGCGTTTGCCGTCCACCATGAATGCGCGTGGGGCTGCAGAGGCGCTTTCCTTCCAGCTAGGTGAGTGTAATGGTATAACGTTATGGTGCCTGTTTTATCTGGACACTATGCAACGTTTTGGTATCACTACGTGCCACGTATGAGCGGTTATAACTGAATATCCGGGCGCATGCTTTTAATTCAATCTCGAGCAAACTTAGTTGAATGCCCGGTCCCGGCAGTAATGGAATTGTTAATTGCAATTTTAAGTGTTGGCTTATTGTGTGCATAGCGGTGAAGCAATACATTATGAGAAAACCTGCATATTTCCGAAATAATAAAAAAAAAGTATTTTGTATGTGAATATATGTACATATATGAAGTCCGCTAATCCGCAGTGGGGTCGCATATACTATTTCCTAATACCGACTATATAGAGGGTATTATTACTTTACTTTTACTAGTCACTAAACAGGAGGTTACCTACATATCTAGATTCGGTACTTGTGGGTCACACTTGTCTCGTGTAGGAATCGAACGCACGTACCCACCCGACAACGAAGCCAAAAGCTAACGGAAGATAGCAAAAGCCGAGACCCACTATTGTTAGCTATACTTTGTTTTATCGAGCTAAGAAGGTAGAAATATAAATACTTTTACCAAATCACCGTAGTTTCACTTTGCACAACGATAGCACTGGTATAATTACTTATTTTATCACTTTTACACTGAAGAAACACAACTCTAACTATTTAATCTGTGATACTGATTGGGCAGCACTATCGCGTATACTTCTTGTTAACGGCCGGAGAAGAAGACGACGAAGACGAAGACCACGAAAAGCTTCTTGCAGCTTCATTTATACCCCAAAGAATGACACTTCTTTTAGTATTGCCAACAACCTCAAGGAATGACTTCCTTTAGTGTTGCCAACACTATGAAAAAGTAGCACCACAACAGAGAGACTTTCCGGTATACCAGGTACAACTCGTCGAGGGCGAAGTGCATAAAGTGCGCCTACTGCGGCCTCTTCTTCTCGCCGAACAAGTTCATCTTCCACTCGCACCGCGTGGGCCCCGGGGACAAGTACGTGCAGCCGGACGCGGCCAACTTCAACTCGTGGCGGCGGCACATGAAGCTCAGCGGCAGCCCACCCGACGAGGTGGTCCACGCGTGGGAAGACGTGAAGGCGATGTTCAACGGCGGCACCAGGAAGCGGATGCTCTCCGCGGCCAGGTAATGACCACACGAAGGAGGTTTAACGTCCCGAAAAACAATGAACAACAAAGGAAGTTCCCTCCTCCCGGAAAAAAATTAAACGATAAAGGAATCCATAGTGGTTTTTTAGGCGATTATTGGGCATTTTCATAAGACGCTAATGGTTTTTTTTAGTTAAAACACCCTTTTGAATACTTAGTAATATTTTTCCACACAGAGAATAGCGATATAAAAATGAATATCATTTGAAAATTTTTAAATTATAAGTTTATGTAGATAAATGAACAAAAGCTTTCGGCGCTGTGTGTCTTCTGGTTTCGAGTTTAAGAATTTTAACAATAACTAGTTTTAATGGAAAGAGACAACATCATCGGATGATGTCTTCGCATTAAGGTTTCAAAATAAATTTATAGCAAATTATATCCTAGCAATCAAAATCAACAAAAGCCCGAAAAAGTTGACAAACAAGTTTTGATACAGGCTTCTCAGTCGGTGGTGAGTCATTCTTTTGCCCTTGTATTTCTTTTTTCAGATTCAGCAATTCATTGATGTTTTTAGCATTTTTGTTATAGCACTCTGAGCAGTGAAGAGTTTGCTTTGTGTGTCATGTTGGACAAAATGTACATATGTAGGAAAAGAAATACATAAATATCTCGACGATTTCTGCTCTAGGGGCTTAATTTTCTTTATTTTCTATAAAGGAAGCCTATGCTGGGAAGAGAGATATACATCGTTCTATGGCAGATTTTCCTGAACATAAACGATTTGTACATCGTAGGCAATTAATATTTTATATTAAATTCAAGGTTTTTCACATTCCTATCAAGGTCAAAGTTTTGTCAAATACAAAAGTCCAAGATTTTGTTTTTATATGAAATAAAATACGAAGCATTAATATAAAGTTAATAAGAGCCTCGAGGTATTATCAAATAAGGTTACCATTAACATGCTGGCTCAAGGGCATCATTAGTTTTGTTGAATATTTTAACTCATTTATGTGTAATAAAATTTTCGAAAAGATCTCTTGTTTCGATACCCGTTCTGCGTGATTTCACATAATTTTGAGTACCCTATACATTTAAATGGATAGATGGATGTCATAATAAATTTTTAGATGAACGGACTGTACTTCAAATTCTAATCTAAGTACAATTCCTTTTCCGTCAACGGGCCTGTCTTGGTTCATTTGTAGTTAGTTTTCATTCAGTTTATAGCTTTTAGCTCACCGAGTGCGTAATTATTAATAGATATCGCGCCGATAGGTTCAGCTTTAAATTGTGCCTCAGAAGGATGCCTGTCCGCAGGCCTGAAACGGAGGTGGTGGAGGCAAAACGCTCGCCAGCTAGCCCACCCAACGCCCATACGCCGGTGCCGAGGTTGGCCGATTACGTGTGGGGCGCCAGGCTCCCGCTGCCGTACATACCGTGGCTCAAGCCCACGTTATGGACTCCTGGTAATTAACTCACAATTTTCTTGACACTGCCCTTACTGTAGAATGAGTGGCGTGCACAGAGCTTTCAAACAGGGTATGCACTACTAAAAAACTTAAAAATATTAGCGTTGTTTCAGTGGGTACATACCATATATAAAATCACTCTATCGGGAAACTCATGTTTTTATTTGGAAAACATGGTATGCACAATCTTTATGGATGTATGTATGGAGTGCATGCGCATGTGTAGGATAGATCCTTTGTCTAACGACATTTATAGACATAAATTTCAGTTGGACAAGCACCCAAATCCGAAACAATTCTGTACGGGTCACACAAACAGTTGTCCCGTATAGGAATCGAACCCACGGAGTGTTTGGAACGTTAAATACAATATTTGAAATAATATTTTGTTGCAACATTAAATGTTTTAGTAGACATTTTAAGCAATCGCTATATTCTCATTTTTGTAGAACCTTTCGCTTGTATCTAACGGTCATCGCTGTATAATACTAAATACAGTCCACTACAATCTACAAAATCCTTGTCCTTGGACACGAACATAATATGTAGCATTGCATAGTACACAGTAGTAGTGTCAATTTGCCAATTCTTTAGAGCTCTGCCGTCATGCGCGCATCATCAAAACTACTGTCATCATCATTTGAGCCTGTTTGAGTCCACTGCTGAACATAGGCCTCCCCCACAGACTGCCATGAAGTACGATCCTGAGCCACCTGCATTCCATCGACTTCCCGCACATTTGCACAGGTCGTCACTCCATCTAGTGTCCATCTAGGGTCGTCCTACACTGCGATGACCAGTACGAGGCTGCCACTCGAGAACCTTTCTTGATATTGATGTATATAACCTACTGTATCAACAATTAATTTCGTAGGCACTTGTTCTTGTTAAATATGAAGAGTATCTTTTTGCTTCCGATGTTTTTTCCTCTGCGCATAAAAAACAGCGTTAGTATAATATGCATCGCAGACGAAATCTCTTAATTAATGTGTCATCTGACAACTCACATCGTCCGTAGGAGCGTTGACAGCTCTCAGTGGAGTGGGCACATTAGAGGAGCCACGTGCTTTCCGACCAGTGCGCTCCCATCGGCTGGACTCGCCCCAGTTGTCGCCAGCGTCACCGGCACAATCGCCGACCAGGTACGAGGTTATGCCCACACTAATAGCTTCTATATTTCGTCATCATCACCATTTCAGACTGTTTGTCCACTGCTGAACATAGGCCTCCCCCACAGACTGCCACGAAGTACGATCCTGAGCCACCTGCATCCATCGACTTCCCATATATTGGAACAGGAACTCTATCTAGTGGGGGGTACTACACTGCAATGGCCAGTACGGGGCTGCCACTTTTCTTTCACTATTCTTTCTTCTCCAACGGTTATCGGTTCTATGTTTGTCAAGTGACAAACGACTTTTTAATATAAAAACACCAAACCCCACTTCAAATATCTCATTCGCTTTTCATTTACTATTTGTTTTTGTTTATTTTTATTTTGTTGTTTTATTAAATTAGCTCTCCTTTGCTGATTGCATATTGAAACATATGTACAACATAAGTTACAAAGATTTACCTACTAATTAAATGAGTAAAATTTTTAAACTTGTTTGTATTACAACCAAGAATAATAATTAAATAACAGAAGTTAGCGTGTAAAATATTGAGACTCTGATGTTAAGAGAGCTAGAAAAAACTTGACTTTTTTGTAGAACCCAAAGAGCTAGCGAATAACTCATTATAAATTGTAATAGTTTTGAGGAGTTCTCCGGTGTACTCAGGGGTCCTTTGTCTAATTCCAATGATGTTTAATAATATAGATGACGCATGTCCATACTGCGCGGTGTTTAAAAATGGTCTATAGAATTGCAAGCTATTACGCAATATAAGCAATTACACTTATTGGTCTCATATCTACGTCGTATTTGTATATTATCCGTCAACGTAGCGTCAACGTTGGAGACGTTTAAAAATGACCGTTCAGTCACAATCCTGTGCCCTAAAGGTCTCCATTGGCCGCATCACCGCCAAGGCGAAGTCGCTCTCCGCTCCGCTCGCCTCTCCGCTCTCCGCTCCGCTCCCCGCTCCGCTCGTCGCCAGCTCGGTCTACTAAGAGCGACCGAGACAGCGACGAGAGCGTGGACATTGAGACCACTGAAGAGGACCATCCGAAAGACAATGTAAGTAACGTTTTTTTTTTCATCCACACATAAATAAACTCCACAACATTTCGTGTTTACTTATTGACCTTTAAAAAGAAAAAATCGGCTGTGTGTTATAAAGGTGTTCAAAGTTCTCTCCCTAATGGTATATATAAAAATATTCTTTTCACAAATGACCATACGGATTACATCGATCGAATAAATACGTATGTCAGCAAACAAGGAAACACTTAACATTAAATACGCGAATCGCGAGTTAAATTAAATTTAACATTAATAGCAAAAGTAGCACTAAACATGAATTTAGAAATGCATAGCGCATACCTTAAACGCACGAATTCAAATTATTATAAGAAAAAATGCAAAGCAAACTATTTGAAGCAAGGATCGAAGGAGCGTCGGTCGCAAGCACAAAGACTCCCCCGTCGTAGCCGCGCAAGCGTTTTTCAAATGCAACTTAATACCTTAGCATTGAGTCGATCGCATTATGAACCAGAGCAGTCCGCATCCGAAGCGGACGCTCAGTTGGATCCAATTTAAAAAGTTTGAGGAGGAAAAACTCTCCAATCACAATCCCCGCGGAGCGTAAACGTCGGCCATTATGCTCGGCCGACTCGTTTTGCTTTCACAGTTACTTAGCGTCGGATCCGATGAGCGAATCGTTCCTACAGTGCACTAAATAATCCCTCAATAACAACAATCGACTTCTTCATTAATTTGACACAAACATTTTACTTACATCCCGTACTACTCTTACGAGTTGTACCTACTTTAAAATAAACTAAATGTTATTTTACTTTTTGTAATAAAAAGCACGTCATTAAGCAGCTTTGATACAAAAATGTTCTGCTTTTATTTTTCTTGAAGCAATGAAAAACAAATTATTTGTTAAAGTATTTACTGTCATTTAGAGTGTAGTTCCTTTACGTCTGACTTGATGTATACGACATAATGTGCAGAATATTTCCTGATTTTCTTTGGAATTGTGTAATAACTTGTATAATAAATTAAACTCCTTTAACGCTTTTATCGCGTTTAATATATTTTAAAATTCCTGACGTTACGAACAACTTATCAAAATAAATCAAATTAAATAAAAGTCGTAAAATAGTTTTAACAAGTGTAGTATTCGCGCAATGTATTAAGTAACGGTTAATCTGACATTATGTTACTTTACCTCCACATATAAACTTCTTTAACTTTCTAGGCGGAAAGTTAAAAACCTTTGACAAAAAAAGCGATACCCTGGAGATTTGCCGCGACGCCATTTTGTGGAAAACGCTCGTCGAACGCTTTGGCACGTCGTAAACTCTGTAATTACTGCCGTGGCGAATTCAAATGGACTTCATTTCGATTTTAAATAAGGGAAAATGTTTAATTTACTACCGATCCGATTCCCGGGGACCAATTAATTGGGGATTTTCATTCAGCAACGAGAACTGCCGACGTTTTTGTGTGAATTACACGTGTCTGTTACTTTCTTTTGGCGTCATCACATAAGCTCCTCTTCAATACGGGCAAGTCAGTATGAAATATTCTATTCAAAACGTATTGTGCTCCTGATTTCTTATAGCTTCGTATTTTTCTTATTTTTGATGATATATACGAACACGTTTGATCGTTACACATTATTGTTGATATATACGAACACGTTTGATCGTTTGATCGTTACACATTATTGTTAAAATATATAGAGCAATTTTATGCTATTAAAACAGCACCTTGAAATATATAATTATAAGGGAAAATCGGAAGTTCTAGAATCATTTATTTATATTCATTTATTTATATTAGGGAAAGGTGAATAGGAATCTTATCAAACGAATCGTAATGTGCAAAAAATATTCATTAGTGCTTTAGCGTTACAAAACTATGTATATACTTAATATCTAGTTGAAATAGCTATTGATAAAGTTTCAGTACAGGGGACTTATTACTTGTACCTAATCCCAATTTATAATCCCCTGCCCCTAACAACGTATAAGAATTTTAGTTTAGGAATAAAATTAAAATATTAAATATAATCTAAGTGTTATCTAACAAACATAACCCACGCGGCATGGTGTCAAGAACGCTAATTGCATTTCCTCGCTATGTTCCTTCGTTGGTGAAAATTTAAAAATTCCAACCTTACCGCAGCATCTGGACGCCCCTACGACCTGTGTGTCAGATAAAACTTTACAGTCCTTAGCTCTCATGAGCAACATACAGCAAAACATCCAAAAAAGAAAATTCATCCCTTGGTGATATCATAATTTTCGAGTGCGTACATCGAATCTGGTGGTAAACGTTATCTCTCGCCCTTATTTTATTCAAAAATATTAAAAAAACAGCAGGTATCTAAGCTACGCAATATTTAGGTCGTATAGCAAAAATATTCAACAAAAATATCAAACAAAGACAAGTTCCTTATATATTCCGAGTGAACGTACATCGAAGCTCATGGTAGAAAATTTCTCTCCTTCTTTTATTCAAAAATATTATGAAACGCGTAGAAAGACCTACGACCAGTCCTATTTTATAGTTCGGCGATTATGAAGCTTGTATGTAGCGTTAACGAACATTCCGTGTATAAGCTTTAACATCGTCTACGTTTATAAAGCGACACTAAAAGAGCATTACGTTGTAAATACAGAGGCGTCGGAGCCTCTCTAATGATTGACGCAACCGGTAGTAATTAACGCGCCTCTAGGGCTTTCGCCTTAATCCCTTCAAAGGAACGACTAGGGCTGTCACGGTCGCTTTTCGAATCGTAAAAATTTACTTTAAAATGTCATATGTTTTAAATTACGAGTATAAATTATTTTTTTTTTTTAAGATTTTAAACGCTCAACAATATAACTTCCGGTTTGATTGTATATCGTTCTTAATTTGCATTGGTTTAACGAATTTAACATTTTGGGAATCAACATCATAACAATCCAACATTTTGCAAATTCACCATTGTGGTCCGGATTCAAAGCACTATAAATATTTTTCTCATAATGCGGTCTATGTTCTTTCTAAATTAGGGCCATATTTATTACGACAACTTACTTTACTTACGGATTAATATTGGCTTAATTGGATGTTCAGTTGTAATTACATTAAATATCATTTTACAAATTCCCTTCTAAAATAAGTTACTGACTGTCATATTGAAAATTTACCGTGAACCGACATGAAGAACAAATCCACGAACTAGATGGTGAAGTAAAGTATTCCGAAGTTTCCAATTGATTATACCTATGTAGATATCAACACGCGCTTGTCGAGAATGTCCAACCAGAATTAATCAACTCAGAAAGGCTAGGTACGATATGTACAATGAAATCGGGCCCGGAGATTAAAATTGCATCCTACAAATCGGATGACGACTGTCCAGATCGAAAGAGGATTACAGGTGGAGCCGTGGGGCCAATCAGGTTATTGAGTGCACCATTTGTTTTGAACAATCGCTTTGATCTACTCGAAGGTTTGTTATTGAACGTTTTAGTTCGCCTTTTTAACCCCAGGCGTAAAAGTTATAAGTTTGCCGTGTCTGTCTGTGTATGGGTCTGACTGTCGCATCGTAGTTTTTTAAACGAACCGACCGACTATAGTGCGATTTTTCTTTGTTTGCTATAATTTCAGCTTTTTTTGTACCAGGGGGTTATTTAAAATTTATAATTTTACATAATACAAAATGTTTCGTTCAGAATTGACAAGAAGTGAAATGAAACGCCCGCGTGATACAAAGTGACTTCATGCGGTGTTCACTCATTAGTCCTTGCAAAGCTTTCTCCCGTATTAACCAGCGCAATGAACAGTCGATAAAATTGAGTAGAAACACGCAGCGGTTTATGTTCTTGCTTGAATGGCCCGGCTCCTGCGAAGAGGCCATGGGCGGAACACTCGAATACTAAGTAATGGGGCGCACTATAAATGGTTGGCAACGCAACTGCTTCGCAGTCTGTGGGATGAAAAACGCCAGCAGGATATTTGTCAAGCCCACTGCAGGAGTGCCAACGGTTACCCTTGGGTTACACCGCTCTGGATGACCAAAATACAAACCACTTATGAAGTTTTGCAGAAACAATGGGGTACCTCAGGAGACATTGATGATCTATTATATTGGCATTGTATCAATTCCTTTAAGCCAATAGTGAATAGGCCTCTAAAGTGCCCGTTTACCGCTAGCGACTGTGTTGCCATTTACCATCAAGAGGCTGGCAAAAAAAAAAAACATGTGCTCATATTAAAATGATATTGTTACTTTTTCAACACACATCAAAATAAAAGAATTAAATTCGGACTCACCTTCAATATCCCGAAATACTTTAATATTTGAAAAGAAAAGTTAGAGCGGACCATTAACGTTATTAAAATGGAGTGTTTTAATGGTCTTTGTTTGGATATATTGAATGTATTACTCAACAGTAATGTGATTACGGGATTCTTTTCTGAACACACGCGGCCTGTACAAACTATGGCGCGTGTTGTCACTTTGTACTCCATTACTTTAATACCCGCAAGTTGTTTGTGTTGAACAAATCTTATATATTAAATAAAAATTTTGTTGGCATCGACTTCTGTCTTGTGTGGTGTGGGTGTGAGACATACTGATGACTCCGGGTTTTCCTCCCAGATGTACATTGCTTAGATGGGTCGTTTTGTTTTATGACCTTGTATGCAAGTGACATGTTTTAAAACAATTATTTGTATATATTTGTATCTATACTGTAAAGTAGGATTATTGATTAAAAGAATATTAAAGGGGATTTGGGGTTTTGTTTCTCCATAGTGTAATTTAAAAGAAAAATATTAATTCAATATAATTTATTGAATCTGAAACAATAAATCATGACACTATTAAGTATATCTGCAAAAAGTGTTCCATAAAACAGTTCCATAAAGATTTGTTGCTACGTAAATAGCAAACATTATAAAATATAATTATTTTATTGGTTAAATCTTGAGAAATTCAAATCAGAAATAAAGACGACATCGATCGTGTAAAGTGGCTTTAATTAATAAGGTTCTATTACAGCCATATTCTTATTTACATTGTTTTTATAGCATTGCTACATATTTTTAGATGTAATTATTTGTTGTCTCAAGCACCATCTTTTAAACACACACTTCGGGAGAAGTTCCGACAATTTCAATGGTGCTTTATGTCTGCCCAATCACTGAGACAAATCACCGTAATCCTCTGTGCGAGCATTAAAGAAATACACGCCACAACGACACGTCGTAAATACTTCTCTACTCTGTTACGAAACTAGGGTGACAATGTGCGTTGGAAAATTTGGGATTGTCCCGATTAGTGTTGCTTCTTTCTCTACTATATCCGTTTATGTTACTTTACCAAATTTACATAATTATGTAATCTTCTGCAGTTTTCAAGGACACGTGTGTAGTATTGTGTCATGAATAATAGAAAAAAATTAATGTAATATTTAGACGGCTGAACTCACGTAAACCCGGTGTATGTACCGACTAGTTTTGGACTCATCGGAGGTCCTTCATGAGGGTGAGTGCGACTAGTTCGCGGTCGCGCCCCGTCTCGCACTGCAGGCTCAGGCGCGCATACACCGGGTTTTTTACTAGTCGGTACATACACCG